CAAATTGCATTATGTCAAACGAACACACGTGCAAGCGAGCACCACTCACTTAGTCAGAGAGCTGGAGGTGACTCACGAAGATACAATTACATAATCAGATATTTAAACAACAATTTTTGCTCATATGCATATCTGAACAACTCAAGAACATCATTCACGATGTGAAAAATATACTTTTGTATTAATATATATCGATTGGTCGGATGCGTATATATCTACATATATACACATGCATCTCTACATAAACACATCATATGGCAGCAAGGAACAGAACATACTCTCGTCGGCGACCTTGAGGAACTCGTGGTACATGTCAATGACCGAATCGCTGCTAACAACATTACAGTTGACAAGGTCCGCTACAAAACGCACAGTCACGCGAATCTTCACAAACTCGTTGTCCTCCAAGAAGCTCTTAAACAGTACATGCACAATGTACTCGACAAAACACTGTCCGAAGTCAAAGTTCTTGGCGTTGATTAAGCCTACAAGTGTCGTGTATATGGTTGTTTTGTGGGGTAGTTCATGGATACAGGCACCCATCGTGGCCAGTATCTTATGCCGGTGCGTCTCCAGCTCCCTATTAAGCACTTCGCTCAACACCAAAAGATTGTTCTGCAACGACTGGTTACTCTTCTCGCCAATCCTTATAATCAGGCTATCTAATCTATCCTCCGTAGTGTTGTGTTGAGGTCTGCTTACAGGCTGCATGTTTGCACCCCTACCCCTATTGCCACCACGCCAATTCCCACGACCACGACCCCCTCGTCTCGGCTGATAGTCCCCTCTATAACTCCCCCCACCCCCACCCCCACCGTAGGGCCCACCGCGGTTACCATAGTTACCGCCGCCACGAGACGACATAATGAACGACTATGGTTGTACGCCTGTATGTGTGAATCACGTGTCTGTCGGTGCGTGTTGTTTGTAGTTGAATATCTATCGTGTTGTGGCTATGTGCTTTGGATAGTCACTATTTAAAAATTATATACAGTGTGTATATCAGCAAAATGATTTGAGGTTGTTGTCGTGTTCATAAATTATTTATTATATTTATAGAACTACACACCTAGAGATGTTCGTGCAATGTAAGGTTTAGAAGTTTTAGGGTTTGTAGATGGATTTTTATAAGGTTTTATTTAGGGTTTGTAGATGGATTTTTATAAGGTTTTATTTAGGGTTTGTAGATGGATTTTTATACGGTTTTATTTAGGGTTTGTAGATGGATTTTTATAAGGTTTTATTTAGGGTTTGTAGTTGGATTTATAAGGTTTTATTTAGGGTTTGTAGATGGATTTTTATAAGGTTTTATTTAGGGTTGAAACACTCGTCAAGACCCTCACTCAAAAATTTGTCCACAAGAGAGAGAGGAGAAAGGGAGAACGGGTGCTGCAGGATGATAAAATAATCCGTGTCTCCAGAGGGTCAGGCATATATGTATTTACGTAGGTGCCATTGTACTTACTAAACAACGGTGTATATGCCCCGTACTTAGTCGCGCTGAGTATACGTGTGCGTTGAGCAGTCACTATGGCATGCGACCGCATCATTTGACAGTGCTCCGCAAACAGCCAGCCTCACTATGTCCATACCAGTGGAAATGGTATTGTTCTATACTGTGTACCTAGACTTTACGTTAACACGGCATTGGCCTGCAAGTCTTCGACATAGCAATATTTCCAGATATTATTTAAACAAGGATAGAAATTTTTTATGCTGGAAACCATTACACTTGCAATTGTTTCGTGAGATCTAGTGAAAATTTGTGAGCGAGTATATATATATGTATGTATGTATGTATGTATGTATACTTATGTATCTATGTGTCTATGTATCTATGTGTTTATGTATCTATGCATATATGTATGTATGTATATATA